GGGGGGGGGGCATTTCACCATACGAGGTAATATACACTGAGAAACCGTGAATAGGAATTGACTCAATCACCACTGGAACAATTGATATTCCCCATACCTAGAAAGAGCCTGGAGTTCCTTTGGAAGCTCTCAGGCTCAATGATGAACTCAGAGAACCTGGTGACCTTGCTACCCTCTCTGGACACTACTTCTCTAGACATTCCCCAAATGCCTTCTGGATGAGACATCAGGGAATGTGCTGCTGCACACACAAATGGGTGTGTTGGTGGGGAGAGTTATGCTGCTAAGAGACAAATGTTGCTAGGAGATGCCTTACTATACATCTGTGATCAGAATTATTGGGAGAAATTGCACTTATATTTTTAAAACAACATGTTTTCTGGGAGCAAGAGATCGTCTTATTGACAAGGCCACCAGTCACACATTGCCTCCATGAGACTTTTCTGCTGCTTTTGCAATTCGTTATCTTAAAAAGGACCTTCTTGTCATTTATCTTTTCAATTTATAAAAAAAAAAACTACCAAAAATAGCTCATTAACTAGAACACTGTCAAAACACAGACTTCACAGACGTGTTATAAATGAATACAAAGTATATGAGCATCAAGGACCATTTCAGTGTCATTTCAAGGGGGGTTTGAACCTAGAGCTCTATTCCAATAGAAGATTCAAACCCCCCTTGAAATGACATTGAAATGGGGCACAGAGGCGAGAGAGGAGTCTGGCAGACTGAATATTGGCTAACCAAGATTTCTATATCCTAATTTATGGAATCTGTTAATGTATTTCCTTATATTTAAAAAGGGACTTTGTACATAAGATTAACTTAAGGAGGTGGTATCTTGGGTTATCCAGGTGGGTCCTTTATAAGAGTGATGTAGAAGGTATCAATGGCTCAAATAATTAAAAGTGCTCACCGACTAGCCCACAGATGTCATTTAAACCCATGCAGAGGCACCTTAAAACCAAGTCTAGAGTAGTGATACCATGAGGGTAGGGGGAAGGTGGGTGAATAAAGGAGAAACCAATCATAATGATCAACGTACAACTCCCCACACCACAAGGGGGACGAACAAGAGAAACATGGGTGAAGGGAGACAGCAGACGGTGTAAGATAGGAAAATAATAATTTATCAAGGAGTCATGAGGGTGGGAGAGGGAAGCTGATACCAAGGGCTCAAGTAGAAAGAAAATGTTTTGAAAATGATGATGCCAACCAATGTACAAATGTGCTTGATACAATGGATGGATATATGGATTGTGATGAGTTGTACGAGCCCCCCAAGAAAATGATTTTTTTTTAAATAATAGAAACCAGGAGACTATGGATAAAAATGAATATTGAGGGTCTGGGATAAGAGTTTAAGAAATAAAGTTTGGTCAGTCGAGTTTATTGATATGGGCCTACAAAGCACAATCTTA